TTCCATAGCCATGACACGACAGGAAAAGAGTTCACAAACGGCCTCCATAGCCATGACAGGACGGGCAGAAGGTTCACAGACGGCCTCCATAGCCGTGACAGGGCAGGACGAGGATTCACAGACGGCCTCCTTAGCCGTGACAGGGCGGGCAGAGATTTCACAAACGGCCTCCAAAGCCGTTACAGGACAGGCAAAGAGTTCACAAACGGCCTCCATTGCCATGACAGGACAGGCAGAGGGTTCACAGACGGCCTCCATAGCCGTGACAGGACAGACAAAGAGCTCACAGACTGCCTCCATAGCCGTGACAGGGCAAGACAAGAATTCACAAACAGCCTCCGAAGATAAGCTGTGACTTGACTTGCTTCATGACGGTCAACTGTGATTTGATTTAATTCATGACGATCAACTGTGACTTGATTTGACTCAGGATTGGCCGCTGTGACATAACGGGGCGCTGTTGTGTTCGCCTTTTTGCGATCAGGCTCCGCTGTCGCCACCATTTTGTGAGCGTGCTCTAGTGCGGCCGCCATTACACGAGTGAGTGCGGGGTCGCGTTCCTCCGCGATACTCACAGTGAACGTTGAACCAACAGATAATAGAGCATAGTCCATAAAATCACTTAGAGACGAACGAGGACCCTCATGAATCACTCGTGATTTTACAGACTGGTTAAGGCCATCACAGAAGAAGTCAATTAACATGCAGTCCGGTAATTCTGAGCCATTAGCCAAAGCCAAATATTCTGCAATATAACCCTCAAGTGATCGTTTGCCCTGCTTGAGAGCTAGTAGCAGAATCGCGGTGTTCATACCTGGCCAATGTCCTGTGGAAAAGCCGCTGGATCCTTGTGTGGCCGAGTATTCTGTCACGGAGTGACTGAGACGTGCAGATCCAAGTGCAAAGCTTTATTAACCGACATGGTCAGAAACAGGCAAGGGTCAGACGATGGCAACATGTATATAGAGGGCAAGACACAAGAATATTCCTAGGGCTAGCGTGGGTCTACGATCGGCGAACAGAATCAACAGGGCGAGACTAGAGGGATAAATCCAGGTACAAGGCAAAGGTCCAGGCAGGGGCAAACAGTATCCGAATAGGGCAAGACAAGAGGGGGAATCTGAGATACACAGGCAAAGATCAGGACACAAGAAAACAGACAAGGCAAGACTAAGATAAGGCTATGAAAAACTAGACGAGCTCCGTAGGGTAGCTGTCGCTATGAGAGTAATAAACGCTATACAATACTCGGCAGTTTGAAAGGGATCAGAGTGAGTGTTATATAGTGAATGTTACAGCTGTGTGCAATCAGTGCTGTGTGCAATCAGTGCAATGGATGATGGGATATGTAGCCCGGGATGACATGCAACAGTTTGTGTAGTGCGAGAGTCAATGTAATGGAAGGGTGACCTCTGGTGGTGAGTGAATTGAAGTTCATAGACCGGATTCGTGACAGGTATTATGTTTTCTGCAAGAACTTTTAGATAAGGGCAGAGCCTTCTCTACTGTTATCTTGCTGCAAATTCTGCATACCATGGGGGATTGACAGAAATACAATAGGTCAGCACCCGCTTGTGTGCAGGTTTTTGAGGGGTGCGCAGCATCTGAACAGGGCTTCAAAGCCGCTGATTCTGCCGTGGGATCTGTCAGTGGTCCTTAACGCACTCTCTCAGCCTCCTTTTGAGCCGATAGACAATATTGATTTAAAGTTCCTTTCGCTAAAGGTTGCTTTGTTATTGGCTCTTTCGACCGCGAAATGAGTTAGTGAACTTCATGCTTTGTCGGTTCATAACTCCTGTATGCTGTTTGCTATGGATTTCTCACGAGTAACTCTCAAGACGTATCCAGCATTTGTGCCTAAAGTGAGTGAGTCAGCTTTCGCCTGTAGACTGGTGGATTTACTGTTTTTTCATCCGTAGCCGTTTTCCTCATCGGAAGAAGAGCAGCTTCATTGCTTGTGCCCTGTCCGTGCGTTGCATCATTATGTGGACAGGATGAAGGGATTAAGAAGGAGTAATCAGTTATTTGTTTCATGGGCTAATTCTCATAAGGGTATACCTATTTCTTGTCAGCGCCTGTCCCACTGGGTGGTGGAAGCTATTATATTGGGTTATAATAGCATGGGTCTAAGTCCTCCAGAAGGGCTGAGGGCTCATAGTACTAGAAGGTTAGCCACCTCATGAGCATTGTTTAAGGGTGTTTCAATTCAAGACATTTGTGCGGCGGCGAGCTGGGCTTCGCCACACACTTTTGTCAGATTTTATAGGTTGGACATTACAGAGCCTTCATTGGCGCATTCCATCCTAAGCGTATATTTAAAAAAAAAACACTCGTAAAGAAGTTGTTTTTATTTTTCACATGTCTCCGTTCTATTCTGGGAATAGTGGAGGGCTTGTGTTATAATGTTATCGCACATCACTGAGTTGGTTGACATGCCTGCTTCGGACAGCATATCTGCAATACGGGAGTTGTCTATATCCCATAGTGAGATACCGAACAAATGTTTGAAAGAGAACTTTAGGTTACTCACGTAACCCCGGTTCTCTGATAACATGAGTGAGGTATCTCACCACACTTCCCTCCTTGCAGCAGCAAGGAGAAGAGATATGCTGAGAATGAAGTAGGGACCACTTGCAGCGATATATATGAGGGAGGCGGGACTCCCGCATCACTGTCATGATTGGACTGTCAACTGACAGACGTGGTGTAATTGGTGCTTCCAGGATTGGTCACGCCCGAGGCGATTCCCATAGTGAGATACCTCACTCCTGTTATCAGATAACCGGGGTTACGTGTGTAACCTAAAATTTGTGTGAAGCAGCATTTACTGCAAACTAAGCTGCTGTGAGATGCTGAAAACACTGGATCATACTTCAGTGGCGTGCTTCACTCTGAAACTCACAGCTTGTCAGACTATATATTAGGAATGCCCTCAACTAAGGATTTTTTTGGTCAACCAGTAGTTGTTCATTTTAAGCATTAGTCGACTAATTGCACGTTTATTAATAAACTATTTAAATCATTATAATGAACCTTTAATTGCCTACATAGCATAATAAAGCTTGCCACAGCGCACCGGCAGAAGTAGCCTAATGATTATGAATGTGTCAGTGAAAAACAGTAAGGAGACTGCATTAACATTTTAATAATTTGATAAACTAGTGCTTTCTTTGTTTTCGGTTTAAGTGAGGAACTCAGCGACACTGACTCTTCATCTCCGCAGTAGTGATGCGCCTGTATTCATGTTTCATACAGACTACATAATCTGAGAATATTTGTTTTCTATTTGAATTGGTTCATTTGAAAGTAGACATTTCACTCTCTTTCTATTTTTTATTTATTTCTGTAAGGCGAAGATATACACGGAGTTTCATGTTCACAGACCGAGATGGCTGAAAGCGTATCCTGTTTGCTTTCATTATTTTACAAAAGCACGTTTTGTTGTTATTGTGAGTTCACACAAATAAAAGTAGAGTCTTTACAGATTTGAAAGATGTATTACTCTTATCTGTATGACCAAAAATGACGGAGTAGCCTATTTTAAGAGCAAGTGAGTGCACCGGCGCCTCCATCTGTCCTGCACTGAGCGCGTGCGGCTGTTCAAATTTCACACTCCACACAGACACTATTATAGTGTCTAATGTTAACCAAGAGAAATGTGCGCTATAATGACACTATAGTGCACATTTCTCTAGGTTAACATTAGATTGAGCAGCCATGTAAAGTTGCTAATACTTACATATTTCAGATGATAAGCCATATTTGAGGTTGATGAATGATAGGCGAGCGTTTGGATGTCCTGCCTGATGTAGGCTACTGTATTACCCTAGACTAGCCTTTAACGATCTGTCCGTCACAAACTGAGTGACTTCGCCTGTGGAATTTTTTTTTATGCGACTAAGCGACTAATAAGTTGGAACGATTAGTCAACTATTAGGGGGCAGCCCTACTATATATTTCCTGTGGTTAAACTGCATCCCTTGCAGTTTGATAATCGCTCGAACTGGCAGGTAACCCTGTTATATGTACAAGCCAACGCGATTCTTACTCGCATTTGGTGCTCGGAAAATTTTTCATTTTGGACCCTAGATGAGATGCTAGAAGTGTTCTACACACAATCCATGCACAAAATACAGACAACTGCTGATTTTTGCTCCATTCACAGAAATTCCAACATTGTCTTGGCTGTAAAATGCTTAAATGCACACTTCTCATGAAGTGTCTGTGTACTTGTCAGGTGATTAGCATGTTCCAACACACTGTCCCACGGTTCAAGGTTAAACTCATATAGAATAATTTCTTGATCCCCTTAGTCGCTCATCTCTGTCATCACTCTGCTTGGCAAAAGGCAGAAATGGTAAAGCAACTGGCAGGAAGCAGCTGTTTCTGGTGCTACACTGAATCAAGTTTGTGGTGATCCACTACTGCATAAGACAAAGTGGACATATTCAAGTTTTTTTGTATCTATATAGTGGTTAATGTATGTGGGATGCTGTTAATTCCCATATATAAATAATGTATAAAACAATGGAAGTTTAGGCTACAGTGATAGTATGTAAGCCTACACAATAACCAGCCCCAGATGTTTCTCCTGAAAATTCCTTAGGAGTAAAAAAACACACACAAGACCCTCGTCTACATTAAGAGTGTATAGCACCATAGCATTAATAAAGATTGTTCAGTTAAATAGATAATTTTCTTGAAGGATTTTGATCAAAGATGTCTGAATTCATATTCAGATACAACTGAGATATGAAAAATATAATTTTTCTTTCCCATGAAGCTACTTCCACACAAACAACAGAGCAATTATACAGCATACATTTCATATACCTGCAGACACAAACATGAGCAGCATGGATGAGCACCTTTTGAGTGTTTGCAAATTCGCCTTTGGGTTTGTGTAATTCCACTCTAATTCTCTCATCTAATCTCAATTAGCAGAAACTAATCCCACAACACAGCCAATGAGAAATCAGAAGAGACGTCACAGTACTCACCAAATCATGATTAGTTGAGTTGGAATCGTCTTCAGGAAAGGGGATGTAAACAGCTAAGGCCACACAGTTGGCAAATATTGACAGCAGTATAAAGATATCAAAAGGTCTGGAAATAACATGTTTAAGGAGAAAAATGATAGCAGTATCATCCATTTCACAAATCCCAACCAATCAAACTTGATTATAAAGTAAAATTGCAATCTTTTGTATTTAAAACTCTCAAAGCTGTAACCTATGTCATGGCAGAGATATTATGTGGCATTTTAGGCTCAATTTTATGTAATTTCTGTGTGACTAGTAATTGTTTCCAAACATTCCCACTACCCAATACTGGTCAGTCCCACTGATAGTCCTGCCCCAAACTCACATCAGAAGCTGACATGTCGGGCATGGTGAACTCCAAATGGCATTTTGGTTTCTCTGAAGGGCATTGCGGGAGGGGGCGCCACAGGAACACAGGAAGGGTCATTTTAAATCAAAGTGTGTAATATAACCCCTTAACGTGCCCTCCCTCAAGGCCATTAATGAAACACATGCAATGGTCAGTTCAAGGTAATTCAAGTAATTTTACTGTTTATGTTCACTTGACCCAGAGTGACGAGTCGTTTTAAAATCAGAAAGTTGAAATTCAAAGTTTCAAAAGGTGTAAAAGAATAAGGAAATGGCGCCGTCTTTCATTGCTCCCTTGTTCCAGTTGGCCACACTACCATGCCGTCAATGTAATTAAGAAAATAATTCTTAATTATTTTAAGATACTTTACTTAATTGGCTTGCCAGGTTAAATAATAAACAAACAAATATTATGAGACACAATTGCACTGCTCCCTCCAAAGTCCCCACTTCAAGGGCCATCCTTCGGAGTGAGCAGAGCACAGGGATTCTCAGTTCCCACTGGAATGTTGTTCTGCACTCTTATGATTTTCCTTCTTCTGTGGAACACCAAAACTATATTATTTTTCTTTACATAACAAAAGTCAATGGGGTTCAAAAGCTCCAAAAAAAAGACATGAGGGTGACGTAAACTGCAGTCTCGCTGACTCCATGAAGTTGGACCCCAATAACATCAAGCCTTGTTGGCATTTTGTGTGTTTGGCAGAGGAAAGAAAACTATCCAGCTCATTGGAAATACGTGCCTCTGCCTGTGTTTCTGCAGAACTTGTACCTATCAAACAAAACGCTGCAGTTTCCAGTTGAAATGAACGCTAGAGGCAGTAAAACTCTGACTCTTATTCCTTTATAACTATATTATAACATTATAACTTTCATTCCTTTTCACACAAATTATGATTTACAGTGCCAGAGTTTCTATTAAGAAAGTCTAATTTTCGCACACACACTTGCAGAATATTATGTTGTGACATCAAAACTATTTTAACAAATAGAACTGATACTTTTGAACATTAGCATCACATATAGAGCTTCATATGTATGGGTTTTCTAACACAGTAGGTTGCTCAGTGGCTCACGCAATAAGGCGCTGCACTTGATAGGTGATGAGGAGAATGATAGAGTTTTGGTTCCTTGCCGCTGTCGCCTCTGGCTTGCTTAGTTGGGGACACTTCATTTCCAGCGATATCATCGACTTGATTGCAAAGATATTATTTAAACTGAGCTGGATGTTGACATCACTGAATTCAATGATGAACTGTCTTTAACTGAAAAATGAGTGTTTACTATTGTCCTTTTGCATTATTGACACACTATTTTCCTAATTAATGCTGTTCAGTTGCTTTGACACAATCTGTATTGTTAAAAGCGCTATATAAATAAAGGTGACTTGACTTGACTTGAGGTAAAGCACTCTGGTACGAATCCTGAGAAACTATGGTTCCCGGACATTTGAATTCTGAACTGCTGCAGTGCGTGCTTGAAGCAATGTAATAAAAATGCTGCAATACATACCTGTATCAACACAATAAAAACGTGGCTATGGTCACGTATTGAACGTGTGGTTTAACTGCCACCAAATGTACAATAAGGCACATAATATCTGTGTTGCAGAAACGTCACCACAAGCATCTGTTTTCAATGAGCCTGGGTTGAAAGAAAACCATTTACTTAAATTTTTTACTATCCCTTTAAATCAGTGGTCTCAAACTCAATTCCTGGAGGGCCAACACTCTGCAGAGTTTACCTCCAACCAGCTCCAAATCACACCTGCTTGGAAGTTTCTAGTGATCCTGAAGACCTTGATTAGCTGATTCAGGTGTGTTTGATTAGGGTTGGAGCAAAACTGTGCAGAGCTGTGGTCCTCCAGGAATTGAGTTTGAGACCAATGCTTTAAATCAATAGCCAAGTTATGGGGTGAATGCAGTGTGTCGATAACTCCAGACTGCTAATTTGATTGTGTACTTTAACACCTTTCCTACAGTTGAGTGTTATCGAAGATCACCATCCCCGCTGATATAAGGATACTTCCACTCCACTAGGTTAATGCATGCTCTGCGCACAGGATTATTGAGAGTCAGGCAGAAAAGTGCTCTTGGAGGTCTGCTATTAGTGGTGCTTCCCTGTTTCTTGCTTTTGGCATATTGCTGACGTTTCCTCTGGGCGAGCGAGCCGGCTGGAGCAGTGCTTGCAGCAGCAGAGAAGTTCATGGTTTTGGGGGTGCCCTGAGACTGTCTGGCGGCATTAATCGCAGCCTGCCAGGAGAGCGCGGCGGACTGGGCCGGCGAATGATGGCTGGTGATCGACGGTGCTTCCAACCAGACAGGAGGAGCATCACTAGAGACGGGGGCTCTGGTGCCACTGGCATAGTTTGCCCCTGAAAAACAGATAATAGAGGGAAAAATTAATAATGAATAGTCTTTACATTTACATTTAATCATTTAGCAGACAATTTTATCCAAAGCAACTCACAAATGAGGACAATAGAAGCAATCAAACCAACAAAAGAGCAATAAAATGCAAGTGCTATGACAAGTCTCAGTCAGCCTAATGCAGTACACGTAGCAAGTTTTTTAAAAAAAATATATATATACATATATACAGTGGGGCAAAAAAGTATTTAGTCAGCCACCAATTGTGCAAGTTCTCCCACTTAAAAAGATGAGAGAGGCCTGTAATTTTCATCATAGGTATACCTCAACTATGAGAGACAAAATGAGAAAAAAAAATCCAGAAAATCACATTGTAGGATTTTTAAAGAATTTATTTGCAAATTATGGTGGAAAATAAGTATTGGGTCAATAACAAAATTTAATCTCAATACTTTGTTATATACCCTTTGGTGGCAATGACAGAGGTCAAACGTTTTCTGTAAGTCTTCACAAGGTTGTCACACACTGTTGCTGGTATTTTGGCCCATTCCTCCATGCAGATCTCCTCTAGAGCAGTAATGTTGTGGGGCTGTCATATATGTGTGTGTATGTGTGTGTGTGTGTATATATATATATATATATTAGTGGTGTCAAATGATTAATCACGATTAATCACATCCAAAATAAAAGATTTTGTATACATAATATATGTGTGTACTGTGTATATTGAAAAATATATAGAAAAATATGTTATATTTGTATATTAAATATATTTATATAAGATAGAAATTATATAAATATATACATTTAAATACATGTAAATATTTTCAAAATATATATTGTATGAGTGTGTATTTATATACATAACAAATATACACAGTACATAACTTTTATTTTGGATGCGATTAATCGTTTGACAGCACTAATATATATATACACACACACACACACACACACACATACAAAAAAAACATGTAGATAGAAGAGAAAAATAATATAGCTAGAAAGCTAGTGTTAGAGTATTGTTTTTGTTTTTTTCTTTACAGGGAAAGTTCACCCAAAAATGAAAATTCTGTCGTTAATTACTCATAATCGTTTGACAGCACTAATATATATATACACACACACACACACACACACACATACAAAAAAAACATGTAGATAGAAGAGAAAAATAATATAGCTAGAAAGCTAGTGTTAGAGTATTGTTTTTGTTTTTTTCTTTAAAGGGAAAGTTCACCCAAAAATGAAAATTCTGTCGTTAATTACTCACCCTCATGTCGTTCCAAACACATCTTCGGAACACAAATTAATATATCTTGATGAAATCCAAGAGCTCTCTCTCCTTGCATAGACAGCAAGGGTACTACCACGGCCAAGGCACAGAAACGTAGTAAGCACTTCGTTAAAATAATCCATGTGACAATTTGTGTTCCGAAGATTAATTTGTGTTTAGATGAATGAAGGTCTTACTGGCTTGGAACGACATGAGGGTGAGTAATTAATGATTAATTATCCATTTTTGGGTAATCTGTCCCTTTAAGAAAAAAAACTAGATAGACTGTATATACATAAATATTTGTATTATTCATATATATTATAGTGCCACCCCCATCACAGACACCACTAGTCTGTTTTCACTTGTTATGTGATTGGTTGATGATGAATCACAGAGTGTAAAATCGAAACATGCTGAAGAAACCCGTACATCATTTGGCAAAACAAAATGAGGTATTTTACTCCAAAGCTGATTTTCTTTCTAAATGAAGGCAACATTCCTGGCTTTGTCCATGGCTGGCATTAGATGATCTGTAGTGGTTTTGTATGTTGGTTTTAAACGCCTAGTTCACAACTGTCCTGAATTAGATTTTCTTTTTCTTTTTTTCTGAAATCTGCCCTCCAAACCAAAGTTGTAATATACTGATATATTGAGTGTTTCCATAAGTAAGTAACTATATTCTTGCTTACTGAATAGCATTTAAAAGGAAGTGAAACATTGTACCATCAAATATCAGCATCGATTGAATTATTCTACAATCCAGAGTCCAGAGCTCACACAGGTGTCCTTAAGGTGTAGTTCATCACATCACGTAGCCTATATATGAACAAGCACCACTAACCAGAAACAACACAAAAAGTCATTCAATACAGGCTGTCTGCATTTTCAACACTATATCTACTTTTCTAGCACTTCAAAACAAACAAACTTCTTTCTCTGTCAATTGTTTGGATATGTCACTACAAATAGCCTTCTTTTTGAGGCCACTACTTAATACGAATTGATTGTGTAAAGCAGCTTGTAATACTCTTGAATCAAACAGTGTCAAAGATGGACACTGTGTAATGGTAATACTTCACAATACTGCATTAGGTATCAGATGATTTTACATGTCTTTCAGTTTATATTTTATTCTACTCGAACCTGTCACCATAATACTCGCGCATAAAGACTAGTGTGATGTGCACTGAATTCTACACAACTTTAACACGGACATACTCGTCGCTTTTCAATTCAGTGTCACCAGTTTAATCAAGCCCTTTTAGTATTAAACGAATCGAATATGCAGAAACTCGTCCATAAGTCACATCTAGGTTTGTGTTTACCTTCAGTCGGTTCCTCTGGCTCGTCCATCCCCTCCTCCACATTGAAAATGTCTTTATTATTTGCTATATTCCAGTTCGCGTGGCTGCATTAAACCATCTCATCTCTCATGTTTTGACTAGTGTGGATGATGCTGATGCTGGTGCTGATGCTGATGCCTTGAGCTCCGCGAGCGCATCTTCGCAACATCCGGGTGTCGAGGACGCGTTTCACTCCGCGATGAAGATTACATCCACCGAGCGCCATTACAAGCGACCACTCATGATGAGGCCCCTTGCCTCGAAGATCCCTGGAGCCCCAGACAGTCTATCCGGAATGTTATTTCATCCGTCACAGCGGACCACATTAGAGAAACCCGAGCACCGTTTTTCTTTTATCCCCACCCCCGCGCACTCGCTGCAGTTGTGCGTCTGGTTTAAATTAAGGCCGTGTTCGGGGAATATTCAATTACCTTTGCAGGACATCTAACAGGCTTTTCAACAGGTCACCTAGCCTATCCCAGGCTTTTGGCACTGAGTAATGTTGCTGATCTATACTTAGTTCACCTTTGGCTTCATAAAGTCAAGGTGAGACTGTTTTAATTTTCAGATAAAAGTAAACTGAATATAAACTTACCTCGTATTCCCAGCATGAACGCCATTCATGTCTCTCAGTAAAGCAGCTCATTCGCTGAGTGCATGCTGTTTTCTGCTCGTTACTGCTATAGGGTGAAAGCACCGGGGAAGGTAAGGGAGTGTGGGGTTGGATCGCCTGTCTATAGCAGATAATCCCCATAATAATCCTGACTCAAGCCTTCTGTGCTACTGAGCTACTCGAATCAAGCGCACTCTAATATTTCATTAAAAACTGTTCTGATTATGACCATCTTTTATCATAAACCATCTCAAATGCAGCTACTGTAGACAAAAGTCAAATAAGAAGTAGGCACTATATTTTAGGCCATTTCCATATGCAATATGCTAAATGAATTCATTTTAGTTTTTGTTCTCTTCGTAAGCGTGCTTGGTTTGTTTTCATAGTTGTAATTGTTTGCTTTTTATTTTTACCTATTAAAAAACGCGCGCGCGCACAAAATGTGCTTCTGTGTGTAACGGCGACCTCTTGCGGTTTCTTAATAACATCACATTTTACATCGCACTTTCTCAACGCTATGCATCCCTATTATTTATGAATCTGGTCCACTGAGCTCAAAGTCCATTAAAATAGCTCAGTAGAGGGTTCATAAAATCCAACACTAATAACCACACGTGGGTGAAAGTGGCGGGGCACTTTTTTAAACTGCTCAACACTTTCTTAATATATTAAGCACTACTTTATGGAATTACATAAAATACTTTTTAGTGACTCCTGGATTATGCTTTATTTCGATAGTCCACTTTGTACATTCTATCTCTATGTCTGTCTATTCAACTATGCAATGTTATTAGAGTGCTAGTACACTGTTAGGTGATAGGGTTACAATAAGGTGACATACTTGCAAAATTACTTATATTCAGTAGAATTTCTGTTGGGGAACCATCAAAATAAAGCAGGGGTATTCAATTCTAAGATGTCGAGGCTCTATATGTTACCCTGCAGCACAGAAGCAGTGTTAAGTCGCTGGGGGATATTTGTAGCAATAGCCAACAATACATTGTATGGGTCAAAATTATTGATTTTTCTTTTATGGCAAAAATCATTAGGATATTAAGTAAAGATCATGTTCCATGAAGATACTTTGTAAATTTCCTACCGTAAATATATCAGAACTTAATGTTTGATTAGTAATATGCATTGCTAAGAACTTCATTTGGACAACTTTAAAGATGATTTTCTCAATATTTAGATTTTTTTGCACCCTCAGATTCCAGATTTTCAAATAATTGTATCTCAGCCAAATATTGTCCTATCCTAACAAACCACACATCAATGGAAAGATTATTTATTCAGCTTTCAGATGATGTATACATCTCAATTTCGAAAAATTGACCCTTATGACTGGTTTTGTGCTCCAGGGTCACATATTTCCGTGCCAGCAGAGGTCCGGGTGATACTTTGTTTGAAACAGTTATACATTTTGATACACCGAAATGAACATTCTGGGCCGAAAACCGAAACCGAAAATGCTTTGTAATGATTCTTTATTATTTTATTAAATAATATAAAGTAATTTTGTAAGAATTTTTCATTTAACTCTAAACTAATTTGAATGATACTGAATTTAAAAAACACAAGCCAATAAAATAACCACACTTTTGCTGAAAGTAACACAATAAAACTGGACAGAATTTATATTAATATTGGTAACACTTTTCAATAAGGTTCATTAGTTAACTACTTCAGTTAACATGAACTAACAGTGAACAAGTGAACTATCATTAACTAACATTAAGAAATATTAATAAATATTTGTTCGTTCGTGTTAATTAATACATTAACTAACATTAATGGACATATTTTCTAACATGAATGTTAAAAGGATAACAGCATTTTGTGAAATATACAAGGTGCAGCTGATACACCCTTTATATCCTATGTATGCAGCAACAGTTCCATCAGAAAATAAGACGCATATTCAGAGGCTGTGTGTGTGTACTGGTATTAGCATTAGTATTTATGTACAAGCTTATAAATCATACAGAATGATAAAAAATGTAAAAAATACATAAAGTTTTGAGTAATGGGTATAGGTTTAGGCCCTTTTAAGTAAAAACCGTTAGTATGTGCATAAGATAGCGCTACGTCCCACTTCAAAACACAATATATTGTTACACTTTTGTGAATAATCACCGGTCAGGGTCTTTGGGGAAACGATGGAAGGCAAGATTTTTACTGTCGCACTGATAGTTTTTGCAGTGGATTGCCCAACATTGCATTCTTACATTATTCCACTTTGACCTCTCTATCTTGTTGTTGGTTATTTTAATTAATTATTTATTTATTTATTAATTCATTCATTTTTTTTATTGCAGTAAACAACAAGGATTACAGTACGTTCAAAACAAACAGTAAAAAACAGTACGTAGTCTCTCTATCGTTGTTACTGTCCGTTTCTGTGTATCTGTGCTGTAGTCCAGTTGGAATTTTCACTCCAAAATGGCGGCCGCGCTTTCTTTTCTGTTACCCAAAAAGCATCTGAGTGAGAACGGTTGCTCAGCGGAACCATAGACATATAAATACCTAGACGCCTCATTGGCCGCTGGATCGTAGTCAACGTTGCCGCCATCTTGGTGCGGGCATCTTTTCCATCATTCTCATAAGTGGACTCGAGAAAATGCCTCAGTCGTTAATTATTATAAAAATGTTATACTACTGTAAATATATTATTTACTGTTACATCTTACTTTATACTATATTTCACATATATTTGCTGAACTGTTGTTGTACCAAATCACATATGTATTTTCATAAAGCCATCCGTTATCTTTGTTATCGTCTGTTTTGGAGTATGTACCTGTAAATAACTGCATCAATTTAGTGCTATACAAATATAGAAAGGAGCCTGCCAGTGTGATTTGTATTGGTCAGTTTGTTCCATTTCTCAATCTTGGTAAATTATTACTGAAGATGGGCATTTGTTTTCCCAGTATTTCAAAGGTATGTTCTGACCTGAAGCACAAGAAAAGCTAAAATGGTGAGAATACTTAAACACAGAAAATACTTTTTGAGAAGATTTAATGTACACAAGTGTGCGCTTTTGTAATTCCTCAGTTAATTTGATTTACTATCTAATTTAACTATCGAGATTTTAAGCATCTGGATTTTTTTTTTGTACACCACGTAGATCATAAACCACTGATATCAGTTGATAAAAACAAACGTTGTCATGTTTTTATACAGAAAAACCGCAGCTCTCCCCGTTCGTTGCATTTGTTTACAGGGAGCTCTTGCCCGCACCGCCATATCGCAGCAACGGACCGAAACGGCCAATGAGGCGACGCCTGGTCGAAGCACGGATATAAGAAAACGGCAACCGGAAGTGTTCGTCCTGGAATGTGTTTCGTGTAGGCACCGTGTAAAGATGGAGTGTGTGAATAAAGCGGGACAGCTCATGAGTCTGGCGGCTCTGCAGCAGCATGACCCCTACATCGTGAACCTGCTGGACGTCGCCGGACAGGTCGCGCTCTATACTTTCAGCTCCAAAGCTAACGAATGGGTGAGACTTCAAAACGCGTCGCCATGTCAGCGCGCGCACGTCAGTTAGCCTGCAGCTGCTAATAGCAACGCTATCGCTCGGCGTCTGTCTATGATGGTCTGCAGTATTATTACCCGTTATATCAGCTCACCCGGAACATACAGGGTAGGTCACCTAGATAAACACACCTAGATAAACACCAGCTGTTTATTGTGATTATCACGCCTCATCTGATAATAAACTAATCTGAAAGTTAAACCAGTGGCACGTCCTGTCTAAAAGCAGAGTCTAATGCTATCAGCGGTAAAATCGCTAAAAACTTGCGATTGTATTTCTCTTTTTTTCCTGACGGTAGGTCATTATTGAATATGAAAGCTGTTTGAAAACTAACACATCTCTCTGACTTTAGGAAAAGACTGAGATTGAAGGCACATTGTTTGTGTATGCCAGGTGAGCGACACTCGCTATAATAATACTAATAATTCATTAATAACACGCTGCTCTGTCATGTAGTGGTGTGCTGTAATGTGAGGATGGCTGGTTTCTGCAGGTCGGCTTCTCCCCATCATGGCTTCACAATTATGAACCGTTTGAGTGCAGAAAACTTAGTGGAGCCGATCAATAAAGACCTGGAGTTCCAGCTCCAGGACCCTTTCCTACTGTACAGGAACGGCAACTGTAAGTGAAGACACTGCTTACTGTAAAAGGCTACATTCATCCGTTGCCGTGAGAAGGAGCCCTGTTTGTCTCTTTCAGAATCAGCATGTCCCTTATAAAGTGTACTGTATCGTATTCGATATGCACATTTCTAATCAACGTGATCAGGACTTTGCTGCAAGACCTGTTCTGATTGATAGTTTATACTTTTTGGCAAGTAAAAGGCCTTCTTGTATAATTGTACAAATGACCACCCTTAGCTCGTGCTTCACTTGTCGTTTTGCTGTCAGATCTTTACTGTTTATGAATAGCTTTTACATCAGTAGTGTTTCCAGATGAACACTTACTGGACTGAAGCCACTTAGCTGATTTCACATTCAGTTTTTAGTAAAAATCACGTTCAAATGTGAGGAACAAACCAATCGTCCGTCTGGCTTTTGAGGAACAATTACTTGTTCATCTCTCATTCATCAATGTATTGCATTGCCTTATATGTTTTGAAACGGTAGCGTTTTTACCGTAAAACTAGACATCTGCATCAAATTGCATATTTATGCTCCGGTTGGGCCTCTGAATAAAATGTAGGTGTTTTTATTCTTCTCGAGTATGAGCTCCATATTCTCACTATATCGTTCTGTGTCGTAGAAGCCTGATGGATCAAACATGACGCTAAACAAGAACACCCATCGCAAACATTTTGTATGTGTTTGTCTGAAGGTCCAATAAACCGTTCCTTTAAAAAAAATGAGGTTTTTCTGACTACTATTTTATGTCAAGGTTTACAGGGTTAAAGTGTTTCTTATCAGAGAGTAAAGCAAATATTAGATCTTCATATTAATGACGAGTTAAGGAATTAAATAAAAAATATGGTCAGAGATAGTAGGACAACCTCTTATCGTAAAAACGTCTTACGGCGGTTTCTAGCCCTAGTCGTGTGTTGTGAAATGAATTTGTGCTTCTGCCATCTAATTGTTGATATAAGGTCCCAAGATTTAATCGAGTGAACTTTTTTCTGCACATCAGGCTGTCCTAGAACTGAATGAGGTAAACATAAAATGAAAACCCCAGGAATCATGTTTTTGTTCCTATTGTGAATTCTATTGTATTTATAGGGTCTATGTCTAGTGGAAAATGTTTGTATGTAAAGATTTAGTGTGCAAGAAACATACTGTTACGCAAGGAAAAAAATCTGACAATAAAGTTGAACTAATCTAATGATTTCTGAATATTATAACTATAACAGCTTCATGAAATGATGAATATATAGTGCCTGCAACTATCCGCATGCATAGAGTACATGCACATGAAGCAATATATATATATTATATAGCCAATTTCAACTGCTTGATTGTGTATATCTTTGCCAAAAGTAAACAATATTATATTGTTTAGCTCTAATCTGCTAAATGCGATTATAAAGCATGACAATATTATAAACGTTAGCATCGTGATTTTCTGTAAAGCTGCTTTAAAACAATTTGTGTTGTGAAAAGAAAAAGTGCTATGCAAATAAAATAGTCTTCAACCTTTTGGATTTTTGGCTTAGTAAAACAGGTAATGTTCTCCAGTGTGCGGTTTTTTTTATTTGACTGATGTTTTACTGTAACTCGCTGTAACTGTACACATGGTCACAGCACTCAAACTTTATTTGATTGCGTGTGTTTCTCTGTGTCAGTGGGCATCTACAGTGTCTGGTTCTACGATAAGGCCGACTGCCAGCGGATTGCACAGCTCATGCTGCAGTGAGTATGGTATAATGCTGGTTGCCTGGTAACTAGTGTGCCGTGGCAGGCTGGTTGACGGTCACATGTGATGTGGACGGGTGAGCTCTAAAGTCTGCTCATTATAATGTCACTGTGAGAGTACAACAGTATTTTGAATGAATGACGAATTTAACTAGAGAAACCTGAATTGCTGCTGAATCTCTTGTTGTCCCTGTAGTTAAACTTCAGTTGCCGTTCTGTGTGTGTAGGATAGTCAAACAGGAGGCGTTGCGAGCGTCTCCCGACAGAGGCCTGAGCGGCAGGACCAATGGTTGTGTTCAGAGCAGACCCACAGATATCCTGGAGCTGCTCAGCAAGGCTAAAGAGGAGTATCAAAGGGTAGGACCACCCTCACGGCTCATTTCACTTTCACAGCAAGATTACTGCTCAAATTGAAAGCACCTAGACCTGGTTATTATTGTTATTATCATCGTCATCAACTTTGGCTTGTCTTTTCCCAGTTTAGAGGGAGTGGTATGTTCACATAGCACATTGTATCACAATATCAGTAGAAATACAATAGTAATTTAAGAATGTTGCTGTTGTATTTCGCGAATACGTGCATTTGCTAATAATAATACATATTTTCTCTCATGGGAATGCGTAGTGAAGCTCTGAATTTGAGTTAGGATGCGCATGTAAGCTTACATGTATAAACAACTAGCCTACAACGTCAAAATTGTAAAACCCCTTTTTTTTGTGTAAATATTTTGAACTGAGTTTAGACTACAGCCCTTGATAAGGTTTTATATCATCCATTAAATATTGTTCTTTTACTATCATACATTTTTAGATGAGTGTAACCACGGGCAAACCATGCACTATATGACTTCTGACGATATGGTTTACACTTTTAATAATAAAGGTGCTTCACGATGCCATAGAAGAACCCTTTTTGTCTAAATGGTTCCGTTAAGACCCTTTCAAATCTGAAGAACCTTTCCGTTTCACAAAAGGCTCTTTGTGGCAAAAGAAGGTTTTTCAGATTATAAAAAGCTAAGAAAGAGATGGTTCTTTAAAGAACCTTTGTCTGAATGGTTCTTTGTGGAGCCAAAAATGGTTCTTCTTTGGCATCACTGTATGTATGTATTTGCATGGTTTATATTTGAAATGAAAAGTTTTCGTTTCAACTGAGAAATGTTTGAGTAATTGTTAACCAAAGGGTTCATGTTTAATGCTTTGTCCTTGTTGTAACATTTTTTTAAGGAGGCACAAGTGGCAATTTAGTGTGATAATAGACGCTGGAGTAACAGATAGGGTTTGTACTGTGTGTGTGTTTCTAGAATCAGTCATTTGAGAGAGATGTTCAGGTGAGCTCTGAAGCTACGCCGTCACAGGAGAAGAGAGAGGAGGTCACAGCCGCTCAACACGAGAAGGTGCTGCTAATCACACTTCTGCTAGATCTGTAAAAACTATTTTTGCTCTTCTATTATAGTCAAAACTAATCATCTCCGCACAGTTGCAGCAAAGCCCTTGAGTTAAGAAAAAACGAAGTTTTAAGGCTTAGGTTTAGAAACCCTCTGTTAAGGACATTACCGTTGTCATGAAGTGTTTTCCCTTAAAAAAACAGGTCCCTTGAGACATTTGCTAAACTCATAATTCAATGAATAAAAAGAATGTCAGCTTGTGTGGTTTGCTCACAGATTTAGTCACAGCGAAAGACTGCGTGAAGGAAAACAGACTAGCTGTGTTACATTTATTTAAGCAGAGTACCTCACGTGAGATCGTTAAACTCCAACTTAAATATTTGCCAGTTTTCAACTCATCAGTGCTTTTTCCATAATATAGAGACATGGTTGCCAGATTGGGAAGATTCAGTCAAACACTGGGCAGAAAAAGAATCAATTTATGGGAAAAAATTAAATGCTCATCTGGCAGCTGCAACCAAAAAAAAGCTTGTGGAGGTTTAACAATACAAGATAACACCAATTCCAAATTAAAATGAAATGGTTTTAGGGTGGATAACCAGTGGGAAAATTTCACAGACAAATATGCTTATTAAATCAAGAGAAGCCGAAATCACAATGAAAATAAAAATATGCGCAGATGTAACTGAACTGAGCACTGAACTAACTTGAGCTAAATAATGAGATGCATTTCTTTTAGAGTCTCCATAGCTGAGTTTCCATTGATTTGTTCTTTTTCTGTTTGTCACTGTGAAGCTGCTTTGGCATTATTATATGAATTGCTATAGAAAGGTGACTTGACTGTAAGTATAATGCTTAATCTTTGCCAGAAAGGCTATTCCAAAAAGGCATTATTGAAAAGATGATTCGTTTTGTAGCTTTGCTACTGTCAGAATGTGAGCTTGATTTGCAACACACACGTTTTGTGACGTCACTGTGTGTGATCGACCCATGAAGAAATGATAAGTGACATGCATCTGTTTTTGTTTCCTCTCCACAGTCCGGTCACTCAGTAGTGAAGCAGATCACAGTGGAAGAGCTTTTTGGCAGTTCTATACCCAAAGAAGCGCCCCAGTCAACAAGCTCCACTGTGGGAGAAAGCATGCGTGGGCCTGCGTTTGTTCACTCGGTGGAGCCTCTCCTCGCTCCTCACCTCTCTGCTGACCCAGGAGGCACGGCGCTGGTCTCTCTCTTTCAGGGTTGTGGCACCCGAGACCCAAGACCGGCTGCTTCAAATACGGAGGAGAGTGGGAGCAGGACCACCAGTCAGTCTGTGCGTCGAGGTTCGGCTGGTCCACTTCCTCCTGCGTATATGAATCCTCCCACAGATGGGCATGGGCTGCCCGGGTTCATGCCCAGCCCGCTGGTCACCCCACAGAGCTTCAGAGAATCCGCCTGCAAAGGTCCAGGGCCCTTCACGGAAAAGGCTGCATTGTCGGCACAGGTGAATACACCGAGCAGTGTTTTCATAGTATGTTTTTTTTTTTTATGCAAGTGCAGAAATGATTGACGAAATGACACATTGTTTCCTGCAGTACAGGAGTGGGAGTCTTTATGCACCTCAAAATATGTTCTGATTCGGTGTGAATGTCACTAATAATGTCAAAACTCTTTTAAAAGAAAAGACAAAACAAGATAAAAATACACTCATTACAGTGTTTGGTACAATACACAATACTGATCTCCCAAATCAGAACTCTCAGGATACAACAAGGCCAAAATAATGATGGAAAGTGTTTTATTAGTATTTTTATTATTACTTTTAAGACATTAAAAAGTTAAAGGGGATGTGAACTGAGAAACCAAAGTTCCCTTGGTCTTTTGGCATATAAGAGGTCATTGCACTGTAAAAACATCCTGTAAGTTTCAGAACTTAAAACTTTGTTGTTAGTCTAAAAACAGCTTATATTGAAGGCAGTCTGCTAAAACAACAGCTTGTGGAATATTCTACTCACCGATTCTACAGCACTGTCTGGTTAGCCCCGCACACCGATTCTACAGCACTGTCTGGTTAGCCCCGCACACCGATTCTACAGCACTGTCTGGTTAGCCCCGCACACCGATTCTACAGCATTGTCTGGTTAGCCCCGCACACCGATTCTACAGCACTGTCTGGTTAGCCCCGCCCACTGATTTGCGCATGTAGTGTTTACAAGAGAGGCGAATGCGCACTTCTATGCAGAAACTAAACGATGAAGATGCTCTGAAGACAAGAAAAGACTGCAGTGCCAAGCTGTGGAAAAACGGTGTTTGCGTTGCCTTCCTTCTGATCCCAACATTAGGAAAGAGTGAATGAACTTCCAGACCGTGTCAATAAGAGCTCAGTCCTTTGTTCACTTCTTTTTACTGCGGATTCGTTTACAAACAAGGCACAATTCAACACAGGATTTTCAGAAAGATTGAAATTAAAAGACGACGCTTTGCTGACTATATTGGATCCGGCAGATCGTTTGATATGTTCGGAGTTATTTGTGTTTTTAACCTAAATCACAGCAGTGGGCGTTTACTTCCGAGTCTACAATCCTCCACGCCTATTCAAACAGAGCGTTCTGATGAGGGGGGGTCAAAATGGGACAGACAATAGCCTATTACTTATAAATTTTTTTGGTGTAAAAATCTTGATCACATTATAAGTGCACCTCAGAGAACAGTACAAAATAAAAAGACAAACTCAGTTCATGACCCCTTTAAAAAAAGTGCAGTTCGTAAGAATGCTACATAGATGTTTTATTTATTTATTATTATTTTAAAACCTGTTTATTAGCAGTGCATGCTTATCTAGAAAAATAATGTAGTCCCTGTCTTAATTTACTGGTAAAATCAGACTTGGCATTATCAGGACTAACAGATTGCAATTTCCCTATTGCGTTATCATACATTATATTCGGCATTATATACAGTATCTTAATTTGATACTTTACACCTGGTTACGGTTAGAACGTGTTGTGTGGACGAACGGGTTAGGAGTGTTTTGTGTGGTTAGCGCTAAAGACAGGTGGAAACAAGGTCTAAACGATTTTGTGATTGCATAGCCTACCTGTTTTGATTAAAATTGTTTACTGAAGTCAGCCATTAAAGTTATTCAAACCAAGTTTTTTTTTTTTTTTATTCATTAAAAAGAACCAATTAATTAAAACAATTCATTTGTGAATCAGACTATGCTGGCCATGTTCTAAATTTTTGCGAGCAGCCTGCAGTTTTGGGCTAAAGTTACTTTTTCGGAGTAGTATTACGTTACTCCATAAAATATAGCTAATTATGTTATTTACATTTTATGGGAAGTAATGTGCTGCATTACTGTTGCGTTACATTTTCAAACCTCAGCTGGCTGTGGCTCTTTCTTTCAGACAAATATAGCGTTATGCTGGGGTTGCTTTTTGTAATTTAGATTTTTTTTATCACAAGTTATTTTTTGTAAGTGTAAAGGCCCATTCACTGCAAACAAAGTAAAAAGGCAAGACCGAGCATGTTTGTATGATTTAGATTTGTTTGTTTATTTGTTTCACAAAAAGGGACAATGTACATTAATCAACATTTATGAATGTAAATGTACCCAAATTAACACGAAGGCTAGTTTTCATTGGTAGTCCTTTTACCAGGTGTTATTAGGTGTAAAAACTAGAGAAAAGTAGTTCAAGTATTCATTTTGACATACGTTAATGGAAAACAAAGAGAACATGTACCATTTAAAATGAAGCTTAGAAGTATATCTTGTTTTTGCATAAGATCTCTCCCTCTCTTTGACAGAGTAAAGAGGCGAATGCGTTTACACAGTCCTCGACTCTGGTCAAACCCATTCCAGTAGGTGCACTTTTGAAAGCATTGTCAGGTTTGATGTATTGTTTGGTGGCAGTAACATTATGATTGATGTCTCTCTGTCATGTGAAGGCGGGGCCAGCTGTCCAGGGGGAGGAGTCTTCACTGCTGCTGTCTCCTAGTGTGTTCCAGCATTCTATGACCAAGACAGCCGAGCCACTGAAGAACCCCGCCTCCCCGACGTCTCCCACAGCAGACCTGCCCTCTTCCCTGTACAATCGCACCCAGCTTAAAGATACACTCATACATCTCATAAAGGTACAGACTGACACCCGCATGCTCACAAACCAACAGTGAAGAAAGACTCGTCCATCAAATCACTTTGGTCTTCAATTGTCTGCCTATATTTGTTTGCAGAATGACACCCATTTCCTCAGTGCAATCCATGAGGCCTACATAGAGAGCCTCTCTAAAGGCCTCAACAACATCAAGTTATAGCCACAAACTGAGAAAACAAAACGTGCCAGCTGGAGCCGTTTCAGATTCAGCGTGAAGCTTGACTACATCCACTACATTGACTACTGATCGACTCACCCGGTGGCTCTTATGCTGCCCTGACGAACAGCAGTTTCCCAGGCTGCTGTGTGCTCTCTCGCTGAGTTTTCCCACTTCAATCTTAATTTATGTCCATCTGCCAATCTAATTTTTTTTTTTCAGTCATTTTCTTTCTGTGACTCCCAGCACAATTATGTGCAGTTATGTTATAAGGGACTTGTGCAATACGAAGCATTGCCTCTTTGGAGAATTGCTTTTCATTTATGATCCTGCCTTAGACATATGGATATGATACAGTGTCTCAGTAGTGTTTTACTGTTAAATCAGTATTGTAGTGTGCAGCATTGGGATTCTTTCCCAGTTCCCTGCCTATATGGATTGAGTAGGATGTGCACTTATTTCCTTAAACTTGGTTGTTTAATTTGGCCAGAAAATGAATAAAGGTTAGTAGAGTTAAAAAAAAAAATTCTCTTGATACCAGTTGAACTATTGTGTGCAGGTAGTAGACTCTATAAACATCATCGTGTACAGTTATGGTGCCATGTATTGCTTTTTACAATGGCAGACAGATTGAAATATGAACGTTTATTTAAAGTGAGATGCATCAAATCAACATTTCAGTGTTCCTGAGCTAAAGTGTCTTGTGTATCAGCTACTTTAAGACCTCATTCTGCTGTTCTGATGTTCTCTGTATCAACAGCAGGAGAACTGTAGTCTGTGTAGACAGCAAGATCATTTAACATAAGCCACAATAGGTGCATTTAATATATCATTAAAAATAGAATATATTTTTTCTGCTTGCACTACTAACTAGTTCATGGTTTGTTTTGACAGGAATTTTGTTTTTTAAAATTCACACAAGGTTTATGTACTTACTGCTTGTTTACACTTAAAAAAAAAAAAAAACCTGACTTGAAAGTAAATTTCATGCCATTTTTTTTTTTTTGTACAGTTTGCTTTTATCATGAAGAATTTTAAAACCTCTCCACAAATTAAAGTTGTCATTCAGTGTTGCAGCAGACGCAAGGCTACATACTAATTTCATGCAAAAAGAACGTCTCTCGAATGCATCAGGATGCTCTGTTACAATGGTTTGTCTCAAGTTCATGTGCAAATAAACTATTGCTATAATTTAGATGGTTGTTTGCATTGTATTATAGTGTAACTTTGACAAAGCAAATCTGCTTATATATTTCAAGACTTAGATTTTTGCCTCTAATAAGCATGTTTAATGTTTAAATCCTTTTTCCATGAGTCTGTGCCATTTATGGGTCGCTGTGATTTAAATGCTAATGATGAGAGCTGTTGAGTTTGTGATATATTGATGTAAGACAACTTGCTATAATCATAGTCACCCCTTAAATATAATGTGTGCTGATTAGCCAGAACATTAAAAGCACTGACAGGTGAAGTGAATAGCATTGATTATATTGTTACAGTGGTAGCTCTCAAGCTGTGGGATATATTAGGTATATCAGGTAACCAACTGGACCTCATTACAAACCTGATTCTTTCCAATCATCCTACTACCTGTCCACTTGATCCTATCCCCACTCACATACTTCAGGACATTTCTTTAGTCATACCTGTGCTTACTCACATTAGCAACACCTCTCTTCACACTGGTACATTTCCCACAGCATTTAAGCAGGCTCCCTGCTTAAGAATCCCTCTCTAAATCCAGCACTTTTAGAAAACTACAGACCGGTATCCCTTCTTCCGTTCATTGCAAAGACACAAGCGAGTTGTGTTCAACCAACTCTCTATGTTTCTTGCACAGAACAACCTCCTGGACAGCAAACAATCTGGCTTCAAAAACAGCCACTCAACTGAGACTGCATTACTCTCGGTTACTGAAGGCCTGAGACTGGCAAGAACAGCTTCCAAATCTTCAGTATGCATCTTGCTGGATCTGTCTGCTGCTTTTGACACTGTTAACCACCAGATCCTCCTGTCCACCCTCATAAAGATGGGCATCTCAGGAACCGCACTCCAGTGGATCAAGTCTTACCTCTCAGGTAGGTCCTTCAGGGTGTCTTGGAGGGGTGAGGTTTCCAAGTCACAACTTCTTGTTACTGGGGTTCCTCAAGGCTCAGTGCTTGGACCTCTTCTCTTCTCCATCTACATGTCATCTTTAGGATCTGTCATTCAGAAGCATGGCTTTTCCTATCATTGCTATGCTGATGACACAACTCTACTTCTCATTCCAACCAGATGATCCGACAGTAGCTGTTCGCATTGCAGCCTGTCTGACAGTCATTTCTGACTGGATGAAGGATCATCACCTTCAACTCAACCTTGCTAAGACAGAACTGCTTGTGGTCTCAGCCAACCCAGCACTTCATTACAACTTCTTTATACAGCTGGGTTCATCAACCATAACTCCTTCCAGGACAGCCATGTAAACCTTGATCGCCATGTAAAAATCGATGATCAGTTAAGCTTCACAGACCATACTGCTACCACGGCCCAGTCCTGCAGATTTGCCTTATACAACATTAGGAAGATTAGACCCTTCTTATCAGAGCAAGCTACACAACTCCTTGTCCAAGCTCTTGTTCTCTCCAGACTGGAGTATTGTAATGCTCTCTTGGTGGGCCTACTGCATGTACTATCAAGCCTCTGCAACTGATCCAGAATGCAGCAGCGAGAGTGGTCTTTAATGAGCCGAAAAAAGCTTGTTACACCTCTTACATCAGTTTACACTTGCTACCAGTAACTGCTTGTAGGCAAGCATCAGTACCTTGAATTTGATGCAAGACAACAACTGGTGCTGCACCAATATACCTAAACTCATTAGTTCAAACTTATGCGCCCTCCAGAAGCTTGCGTTTTGCAAGTGAACAGTGCCTTGTGGTGCCATCCCAGAGGCACAAAATCACTCTCACGGACCTTTTCCTGGACAGTGCCCAGCTGGTGGAATGACCTCCCGATCTCAATTCGAACAGCTGAGTCTTTGACCATTTTCAAAAAACGTCAAGTGCTGGCCTAAAAGATGTCTTTAGACAAACTAATTCTAAGCACTTACCTATTCTGTTCTATTCTATTCCATTCTATGAACAAAAACCTTAGCTATATGTACTGTGCTAGACTCACAGCACTTGCATACTGTTACTCTCTCGTTCGTCTGATTGCTTCTATTGTTCTCCTCAAGTAGGGGGAAGTTGTGGCCTAATGGTTAGAATAATATAAATTGAGAATTTAATGCTGGATACACACCACAAGATAATCGGGCTGATTTTGGGCCGATTTCTCCCCTTCCGACAATCCTAGGTAATGTCCCGACTATCTTGGTGGTTCTAAAGATTATCTTATCAGATTTTCCTGTGGTGTGAGGTGTGTTAAGATCTGCTCCTCGGGGAGGCATAATACAAAAACCCGGGGACCCCGAAAACACCACACTATAGGAGCAAAACGGTTTAATCTAGGATTTTTTCCCTCATGTTTGTGGTCTCTCGCATTTTGAAGATCTTATAAGATTTAAAAAATCTTTTATACCCAGCACCAAATGGGGTTCGCCAAAGTCTTGTATCTGAAGAACAGGTTAGTTCCCAGTCTCTAAACCGAAACGATGCAGTAAAGGTGACGATTGGGTGGTTTAGGTTTAGCGCATTACTTCGATAACTTATTTTCCTCCTTTGTTGATGTGATGCAGCAGCTGTTCAAGTGAAATCTTCAGAGCATGCTGATAATGTTTGCCCCGATCTCGAAACACCGGAGCTCGGGCCAATTAAACGGCCGCGAATGGAAGGACGTGTAGAAGATTTCAACTGCAGGGCATTGGTGACCCTGAAACAACCAAAGGATTTCACCTATGAGCCTGGAATCACAGAAGACGATGAAATGTAAGACCTGTTTTTCTCTCTCTCATCCTGAGGTCTTAAAAAGGTTTTGAGACTAGCCAACGCATTCTGAAAAGCCTATAGTCTTGGGGGTGATATAAGGGCTTTTGAATATAGACCTCATAGGGGTCTTCTTCTTCTTTTTTTTTTAAAATTGAGATCTGAAAGCTGAATAAATAAGCTTTCCATTGATGTGTGGTTTGTATAATTTTGACCCATACAATGTATTTTTGGCTATTGCTACAAATATACCCCAGCGACTTAAGACTGCGTTTGTGCTCCAGGGTCACATTTTATTGTATTTGTTTATTTTTGTGTATTTAAAAAAAAAAAAAAAAAAAATTTAATAATTAAAAAAAAATATATATTTTTTTTTTTGCATTAGACATTGTGCCAAACATGGAAGTCACACAGTGATGAATATGAGTGACAGTAGGGGGTTGGACATTAAATTAGAAATTGAAGCTCTTGGGAAAGAGCGGATTGTGGAGAGGCTCCAAACTGGACAAAAAGCATCATAAACCTCCTCTACTGGTGCGCATCCCTCAGGATGAGAAGCTGTTGCAAAGTAGCGGCCCATTGAATTCCCAGCCATGTGGAAGATGTTCACCATCACAACAGTGAGTAATATACCTGACTGCGGGTCACATTTTATTGTATTTGTTTATTTTTGTGTATTTAAAAAAAAAAAAAATTTAATAATTAAAAAAAATATATATATATTTTTTTTTGCATTAGACATTGTGCCAAACATGGAAGTCACACAGTGATGAATATGAGTGACAGTAGGGTGTTGGACATTAAATTAGAAATTGAAGCTCTTGGGAAAGAGCGGATTGTGGAGAGGCTCCAAACTGGACAAAAAGCATCATAAACCTCCTCTACTGGTGCGCATCCCTCAGGATGAGAAGCTGTTGCAAAGTAGCGGCCCATTGAATTCCCAGCCATGTGGAAGATGTTCACCATCACAACAGTGAGTAATATACCTGACTGCATCCACACACTTCTAGAGGAGAAAATGTGGCCGAAACCAGGATAAGGTCCTTTGGATTTTAAAAGTAATATTATGTGAACATCTTTTTTTGTATTAAATTATTCTACACAGTAAACAGTACATTAAGCTTTCATTTTATTTTACTTTTTAAATTTACTATGTGACTAATATTATGATTGCCTAATGATTAAAAAAAAGTATATATATATATATACACACACATTTCTTGTAAGCAACTTTCTTGATCAGAATCAACAGTCTTTTATTAGTAAATAAAGTACATGCTTTTCCTCTTTTCATCATCAGGATGTAAAAGGATATAAATCAAGATATTAATATGCAAGGATATAAATGGTCTGATGGTCTTTACACAAGTTAGTACTTCTAACTTTCACAGCAAAATGACAACCGTAAAAAAGACCGTTGGATTCTCTTGTAGGGCCAGTGGGGAGATTCCTCAGGGCACATCTATATCTCTCTCTCTCTCTCTCGCTCTATATATGTATGTGATGGTGAGAGAGAGAGAGCTGTGCTTCCAGTGCCCTGTACTTCAGGCTTTACTCACAAAAGAGCTTTTCACACTGTGCATTTATTTTTGCAAGATGGTTACCATCATTTTCAACCAATTCATGAGAACCAGGGTTGGGATGGTGGCTCTCACGACCAGTGCTGAGTAGATTACTTCCAAATGGTAGTCCAATACTGATTACAATATATATACATTATTTATTATATATACATTATATATATAGTGGTAGGATGGTTTACAAAGGAAAAGGTAAAAGGAAAACAAAAAGAATTCAGGTGAATCAATAAATTATTAATTCACTGCCATTGTCTGAATAATATGCAATATAATATAACAGGACAAAAGAAAGATAAGACAAATTCACACACAGAACAAATGCCGAGTGACTTTTTATTTGTATTTACTGACTTGAGCCAGCATGACTACTTCTACACAGACAAACCTCTAGAAAACAAGACTTCAACTCCGTTAGTTCAAGAGTAAGGGACCAATTAAAAACCAAACATTACTCGCTCTTCTGCTTTTTGTCTTTTTCCAAGGCTTTGGAGTTCTAAGTTTGTTCTTGGTTCTGTGTACAAGTCTCATAGCTGAAAGAAACATGCACATTATAAAGTTCAGTACTGACGACATTTCAAATTAATACAAACAAACAAATGCTATTTTATATAAAGGTATCAAACTTATAGGTCCTTATAGATCAATACTGGAACACAATAATAAGAGTTTCCAATAATAAGCTTCCACAGCTAGTTGAATATCACAATGCCATCACTTCCAGCAAACAGAAAACCTCAGTTACCACATACCTTCGTTTTGGTTTAATTGCACTTAATTTAGTTCCTCCTCACTTGCTGACTGTATTTATTAATTTTACGCCTCAACAAACAAAATGTGACTGTCGTGGCACCATTTGCTTGTTGATGCAACATGTTTTCTGTTTCCTGAATTTGTAATGCTCATATAACCATGTGAAAAATGTATAAAAAATAAAACAATTGAACAGAAAGAGGACACAAGCTTTCTCACAATTGTTAACAATACTATCGATATCACATGACCTCAGCTACCTCACCATACAAAGCTAGAATAACACCAGTCTCCGACAACAAAACACCACACAAGTTTCGTGTCTCAAAATTTTTGTTCATATTGAGGCAAACGATAATTCTGGCTTCAAACCATCTGACGAAACATAACGTTTTCTAAAACCCCTGAATTTGCTCTTAGGATCACTGACCTGACGGATTCAGTACAATCGGTTTTATTTCTCTAATCATTGATATCTTCACACCCTTGAAAACAGAATGAATGTCTTCTGTACTTATTGCTGCTGCTAAGTTTAGAACAAGTCATCTGCTCTTCCTTAAGGAATGAGAAAAATTAAATACAAAAACTAAACGCTAAGCTAGGATTCTCTCTTCAAAGAACAAAAAGGCACTAATGGTCAGAATGAAGATCATAAACGGAAAAATGAACCAAACTGAGGGTAAGGTAAAGCAGGGCAGACCCTCGTCTCAGCGCTTCTGATCCTTTTAACACCAACCCAAACGATGTACCGACACTTGGCACGATAGTAGAGAGAATTACAGCATTCCAATTTGGAATGAATTCATTTCTTCTTGTACAGAATGCAGAAGGTCAGTGACCCATGTAAAGCTTGAGCGAAGGTGCTTGAAACGAACGAAAGAAAAATCATGAACATTTACAATAAGGTACAGTTCTTGATGCATCCAGGTTAATGTTAATATATGAATATTCTCGTTTATTGTTAATTCACGTTTGATCATAATACGTTAACCTAATGTTCATTTATACAATGTTATAAAACACATTCCTATATAAAGTAATGATACTAGATGAATAAATGCTGCATTGTTTGTTATTTGAACCTTATTGTGAAGTGTTATGAAAAAATCCATTCAGTTTTTTATCGATTCGCTGGTTTTGTTTAACCAAAGCCTTCCGATTAGATTAAGCCACTTTTTTTTTTTATTTGTTCACTTTGAAATATTCCTATATAGACAAAATAACAGTAATAATAAATAGACGAAAGCCCAGCATTAAAGCGTGGCCGTAAAATGTGTCAATGTGAGAAACATAACATTTCAGTACAACACATAGATAATCTTATGGACTCATTAATAAAGATGACAGAACTGGAGCATATGGATCATGTGAGTTATGAATCCGTGACGTTGAGCTCTGCTTACAGAGGACATACATGATGAAATCGAATACTCTTAAAATAGTAGTGTAAAATACGTGAACAGACTCACCTCAAGCTATAGACTAATATAATAAAAAGCAATATAGCCTTATAGTAAAAGATCAAAGGTTACAAAATCTCAAAACATCGATGAATGTGCCCATGTTCTTTTTTTTTTTTGTAGTTGAATTTTAAGCATTAAAGTATTCAGGACTTTGTGACCTCTGGCTTCCCATGTGTGTAAAAAGAACCCAAAAAGTAGGTCCAAGACGGTTTACTGGGTTTGTAGGCAGTGGTGCAATGTTGAGTGCCAGCTCCGGCTGAACGTTACTGCAAATCGGAATAACGAAATAAAAGCCGTTCGCATTACGGTTAACGTTACGCAGCGGCTGCATCTGCTCAAGCGGCGTTCCAGCAGAACTCAATGGAAAACCCAGAAGCCAAACACAGCCCATGTGAAGTGTTGTGTTAGTGAGCGTGGAAGAGAAGTACAGGATGCAGGAAGCCAGAGGTTCTCACAAGAACTAAAAACCTCAACCTCACCAGGTCAAGCCAAATAAGTAGTGAATGTTAATGAGTTGTACGACGTTTTTGACCGGTCAATGGTGAAACATTTCACATTTAACTCCTCTTGGCGAAACGCAGACCAACTGGTAACCTGACTGCTAATTTTTCATTGGTAACTGAAGCGAGCAAATTTGAACTGGCCATTTTAAAATTTGGACAAAATGTCACACCAACCAAAAATTGTTTTTTTTGTTTTTATTGTTAGACATGTCAACCAAATGACACATTCGTCTTTTTCTGTGACAGGTCAATTAAATTCCAAAATGAACGTCAATAATCTGATGAGCGCGAGCAGTGCCAGAGGCATCCTTTCCCATACCGGGAGTCGAACCCGGGCGGCCTGGTAACAACCAGGAATCCAAACCACTAGATCATATGGGAGATTAACTGGACTAAAAAATGTTACAGAATGTGAAAGACGCATGTAATCTTAATTTAACACTGTTATTTACAAATACAGCGATTCAGAGAAGCCATTCATTAGCCCATTTGCAGCAATTCATGAATTAATCGACATAAACTGAAATAAGAGTTCATAGCCTATTTGCAAGCTAGTTTAAAAACCTAGCTCGGCATCGACCACTTCAGTTGTGTTAATCTTTCACGTGATGCCAACACAAAACGGTGAATGCGATCTATATGAAGATGAGAGATTCAGATCATATACAGATTACTAATGCGAAGGTCGAGTGTAACTAGGAATATATGATCTTATCATGAAAAGCTGATTCGGGATGTTTTAAGCAAGCCAGAGAATGAAAGCCTGAAACTTTGAATCTTTTGTTTGCTAAAAAGAGACATTGGTTTGCCCTTCTCGTCTTGAAATGAGACGGCCACGCTATTTAGAGCACAGAAACGACAGATAAGGCCTCTCTAATGTTTCATCTGCAATGGAAATATGTTGACAGCACGTGGCAAGCCCTTCACCCTGACTTCACCGTGTGAAGCCGTGTGTGCTCAAGTAAACGTAATCGAGTCTAAGACATATTAAAGCTCTCAGTTCTGCAGCCAGACATCAAATGAAAAAGCAAGCCAGAAGCCCATTGGCTTCGTGGCGCATACTGATTTATGAACACGCGTCATTCCCGCCTGCCTCACGAGTGACATCGTTAAAACACACACACTCTCCAACCCGTCGATTTGAATTTTTGATGTTATATTTCTGTTTTCTTGCAAAAACAAGACAAAAATGGCACACTTCTATGAGTTTTCCTGCACGTCAACAAGGCAGGGAAGGAGGTTTGCATATTTCGTTTGGTCGGGCATGTAAACACGAGTTACCTGATTGGACGGGCTGCTGATTTCAGAGGCAGGAGAGAGATGGACAGAAGAAAAGGGCGAATGGCTATTGATTTGTGACCACAACAATCCTATGGCTAGCTCTCTCTATCACGTCTAATCTAGAAATGCTGCCTTGAGCTGTAAAATTGTGCAATTGGGTTTGGTGCCGCTAGCAGAAACACATTTCACCTATAAGACTAAACGTTATTTCATTCTGCCCTTAGCTAGCACTACAACATGCACCTGGCTACGAGGACGCTAGCATAGCATGACCATATTTAGCCCTAAACACACGGACACATCATATGGGTTAGCACGCAGCAAGCAAGAGAGCGCGTGAGTGGAGCTTTGTACAAAGGCTGACGAGGCTCGCACAGCTTCAGTCGCAGTAGATCTTGTACTTCTCGCTGCAGAACACCACCGGCGTTCCCAGGAGGCCGTTGGGCTCGCCTCGACCCCCGCAGGGGGCAGCGGCGGCAGGGTGACTCACGTGGGAGTGGGTGGGTTTCCCGCGCGAGGAGGCGGTCTTGGAGCGGCCGTTGGCTCCGCCGCGGCGGGTCTGCTCGTGGTCGAACTCCAGGTCCTCCAGGCGCTGGGTGAGCGCCAGCTTCTGCTGGATGGCCATACGGAGGAGGGAGTTCAGTGTCTTCTTCTCATCCTCCGCAGCAGCCAGCTGCCTCTGCATCTCATCCAACTGAGTCACGTACTCGTCACAGCTGAGAGACAGAGAGATGGTCGATATATTAGTACTACAAAAAAAAACATTCCTTTTTGGTAACATTGTCCATAAGGCCCTGTTTACACCTGGTATTAAGAAGCATTTTTGTCAATCAGATCACAAGTGGACAACACTAAATAAGGTGTGAAAGGGGTCTGAAAAGTTATAAACGCATTTGACCAGACTGCTTCCGTAATGTAAACGGCAAATGTGTTCGAACAGCCACTAAAGGTGCCTCCATCCTTTACCTACTGACATAATTCTTAAAGATTACAGGACATGTTGTTAAAGCACAATAGCAAGACAGGATTTAAACTTTGCCAGCTGACGTCGTAAGTCTGGTTTGAAGGCAAAAAACAAACAAACAAACAAAAAACCACAATGTTCTTGTTTTATTCCTGCTTCTAACTCAAACCCACAGCATTTGGCATAGTTTTGCAGCTATCACAGCAGAAACAAACGCTGCTGCTCTGTGTCTCTGTAATCTTCCTCACTTGTCTCCATTCCTCAGCAAATCCAATAGATCAGAAAAACTTGATGTTGTAACAAACTATAAACTCTCAGGAACTAGAAATAAAAAAAAGTCTCAAAAAAATTTTATTTAAAATTTTATTAAAAATGTTTTTTTTTATTTTTTAAACGTAGAGAGAGTGTTGATTTGTGCAATGATAACCTACCAGCAATGTTAAGATGATTTTAATATATTAGAATGAGTACATTACAATGTAAATTTGTTCAAAATTATTCTTTTAAACAAAAGTTGTAATAATTGTTGTAGTAGTCAGGGGTTAAAGCAAAAAAAAAAAAAATCTTTTGACTGAAAGTTTTTCCTCGGCCAAACCCCATTCCTCAGCCATACCTGTCACTCACCCAGTTTAAGAGCAGTGTTTTTCTTTTTCTTAATTAAAAAAATTAAGGAGCACCTTCTGATCAATAATCAAAAATTCTGATAAAAAATTAGCCTTCCTAATACGAGGTGAAGTGATTTACAGAGGCATTTTCTTTTTACCTTTGCAATGGCATCATTTTAATCTGTCAAATTCAAAAATGTATGTTTATAAGCTTTTTAAAATTTCTATTTAAAACAATATAATAAGAAGTAGAAATAAGACAAATAAGTTACCAATCATATGAAATTAGTATTAATGAAAAATTAATTTCTGCTACAGAGGTGGCACAGAAGAACACAAATTTGGCTTGTAGGTAAATTTTCAGACATTCAATGAGGCTCAGAGGTGGCATGAGTGCAATTAAATTCATAAATTCATGTGGAGCTTAATGTTTCAAATATAAAATTTTGAATACATAAATATTAAATGATTTAAATAACTGCAATTATAAAATGAAACCAAATCACAAATCACTCGCTTGCAAATCACGGATTTTATCACTGAATCATTCATTCAATTGATTCGTTTGAATGGCTGATTCATTCAGGAACGAAGCAAGTGACTGTCTTTATGAATGGGTAATCATGAATCACTGACTCACTAGATTCGTTCAAAAACGCACTTTCATTCATGAATGAAACACCGCTGTTTGCTTTTAGAGATGCGCAGCGGCTGAGCTGTTACTTTTATTTGGAACTATTTTCGTTGATGAAATAGAGCAAAATCAGGCAGTACTTGTTTATTAAACTGTTGTATTAAATCAATATCACATTTGCAAACTCCTTTAATAATTGTTAAAATCTGTCACTCTCCTTATCGCGATCTGTGGGCGCACAGAAAATGAGAGTTCTCAAGACTCAAAAGTACGTGCAAATGATAAGTTCCGTCATCTGTCATCGCGTTATAAGCGCAGAACTTGCGGGAATGAGTAAAATTAAGATTGCGCCTGAAATTCAAGACCTGCTCTGTGTTCTCTGCTAAATAACCCGACCGTGAATGATGCGAGCGGCGTTATGTTGTCAGTGAGAAGCTGCAGCCGTGGCGGGGGGGATTTTTGGTGTGCTGGTGTTCTGACAAATAATGCTACCTATCAGATTATGCTACCAACAAATCATTAGAACACCGGCAGAACAACAACAATGTGCTACATGTTTCTTTTCCCCTCATTTTTTCCAGCCCTTCATAATGCAGACGTCAACTGCCTGCTCTGCCAATAGTTAGCAACAGCCCTATAGTATGCAGTGTTTCATAAACAGCTGTTTTACTAAATTCTTCTGAGGTGAAATTCAGTGCAGTCCCATATCGTGATACGTATCGTATCGTGGCCTCTGTATCGTGATACGTATCGTATTGTGATTTTGCTGGTGATACACAGCCCTAGTAATAACCTAAAACTCTGTCTAACACTTGATGGCTGCTCTGTAAATTCTTTGTCATCAGTTAGGAACCTAGGTGTGCTATTTGATAGCAATCTTTCCTTTGAAAACCATGTTTCTAACATTTGTAAAACTGCATTCTTCCATCTTAAAAATATATCTAAATTATGACCTATGCTCTCAATGTCAAATGCAGAAACGTTATTTCATGCATTCATGACCTCTAGGTTAGATTATTGTAATGCTTTATTGGGTGGTTGCTCTGCACGCTTAATAAACAAACTGGCCCCCCCAACTGAGCCTGGTTTCTCTCAAGGTTTTTTTTCCATTTCTGTCACCGATGGAGTTTTGGTTCTTTGCCACTGCTGCCTTTGGCTTGCTTAGTTAGGGATGCTTGACTGATTGCACAGACACTATTGGAAGAGGGCTGAACTGGATGATGACATCATAGTGTCATTTTTCCAGTTAAAGTCAATTCATAGATGATTCATTGTTATCCACTTGCATTATTGACAAACTATTTTCCTGTTTGACACTGTAAAGCTGCTTTGACACAATCTGTATTGTATAAAGTAGTGTTGTCAAAAGACCCGGTACTTCGGTACCAAGTCAGTACTAAAAAAAGGAAAACATTACGGGACCAGGAGTACCTGGTCAATAAGGTTCTTGATGCGCTATCCGAAAGGTGTGCAGATGTGCTCTCTTCATAAAAGCACTGAGACATGGCGACCTCAAAAGGAGGAAACACATCAAACTAACAAAACACTTTAAAGACAGACACCCAGATCAATTGAAAGAGTTCAAGCAGGTAAGTTTCATTTTAATTTTTAATATTTGTTTTTCCCATTCATTGATTTATTTGTGGTGGCCCGCCACAATATCAAAACTGACCGCCACAAATAGATTTTCCAAAAGGCTTTGACTTCGTTGAATAAACATGAGCACTGCATGTGTCAAAGTCAAAACCCGGTGCGGGTCTTTTTATATCACTGTATTTCTGAAGGAAACGGACTGTCTTCAGAAAATTATGGATGTCATTTTCATTTAATCTTGCCTGTAATGCCTGAGCAGCGTTTGTGAGTGCAGCGCTTATTTGATTACAGCCAGAAACCTCTATCTCTCCCGCTCTACAAGTGCCTCAGAGAATGATTTTGCATATATATGCCACCACAAATAGAGTGCAAGTCTGTGGGAAACGCCGCTTCTGTTATGAATATTATTCAATCTTTTAATTTGAATGTCGGATTGAAATGAACGCTGTTATTAGTGTAGTTAATCGTTAGCATAAGCACGGCTAACGCTAATATAATGAACATTAGAATGAAGCTTCTTTATTAACTATTTAATGCTCCTATAACTTTTATTAGGGTAAAAAAACAGGAGGACATTATGATATTTACTATTTTTACACACCAGAGGCTTTTAAATGAATTGTGAATCTAAAATATGCGTGTTAGAGAATGTACAAATGGTTAACATTGTTTGTGTCATATCAGTCAGAAAAGCAGTTCTGGGTTTTTTTTTTTTTTAGCCCAGTTGTTATTCTTAACTTAGTTGTTATTCTTGGCTGAATAACTCTAGAAGGTTTTAAAAGCCCTTTAAAATTAAATATGTACACAGTTTGGATTAAATGAAAGTATAGTCAAATGTTTTAATTAGCATGTTTTTGTGTTTTGCTTTGGTACTGAAATCGGTACCGAGAACCGTGAATTTTCACTGGTATTGGTACCGAATACTGAAATTTTGATACCGTGACAACACTAGTATAAAGTGCTATATAAATAAAGGTGACTTGTAATTTCACTGAGGATTTCACAATATTAGATTCAAAGATCAGAAAAGGCCCATACATACACCCGCCTATAGACCCTCCCCTCAAAGAATCTTCTACTTGTGATCCAGTTGACCAAAATGCATTTTAATACCAGGTGTCAACAAGACCTATAAAAGGGCACTGGCTTTTGCAATTTTGATGAAACTGTCTATAGAAAAAGCCAACACAGCAAGATATTTCTTAACACTCTAGTACAAAGACAAATATATTACAGATAACGCACCTGGTCAACTTTAGCTTTTTATACATGAGGTTTATAAAGCAGATGGTTCAGACACTGAAGTTTGACTGATGTACACAAGGCTGTGACTACTATTCAAAAATCATCGACCACAAGCACTGTATAGATTTGACCAGACTTTCTATTTATGTTACTTATATACTGAACGCCATCCGTTCTTTAAACAAAATCTGTGATTGCACAAAAGTGACCCTCCGTGAACACAGCATAATACTATATTTAAAAAAAAAAAACAGTGCAACGGTTAAATTTTTTTTTTTTTTTTTTTTTAATACACATTTTGTTTTGCTTCAGAAGACATAGATTCATCAACTAGGGTTGTATGGATCACCGTCATGTTCACTGTTTGTGGTTTTTGAAGTGTGAAATGTGAGGGTCCCGTATACTTATATGGACTTACAGAGATGGGCTATTTTTCTAAAATAGCCCATCTCTGTAAGTCCATATAAGTATACGGGACTTATTGCACTTATTGTTTTTCTAAAAACCTCTGTTTGTCTTCCACAGAAGAAAGTAAGTCAGATACATCTGCGATGGCATGAATAAATGACAAGAATTGGGTGGACTATCCTTTTAATTCAATTGGCCATTTAAAATAGAGGGAACATTCCATGTGACTCCACCTACTTCTTAATGTTAATAAAGGGTTGAATGGTC